TAACCAAGAACACTATCTATTCAAGTGAATAAAATTTAAGTGTCTGTTGGTAATGTCATAATAATAGGTTGTTTTTTATGCTCACACGGTTATTTACACGATACCTATGCCTAAAACCAGTTTAAACATTTTTTGTCTGTCAGTCTGTCTTTTGACCGATTTTGTCAATATTTTACTACCAAGTCACTGTCTATATAATGGGGAACTAAGGCTATTTTTCCTATCAGAAAAATCCCATAAAAAATTTCCCGGTCCGGAAAAGGAACCCGAGGCCTCGTCGACTGCAGTCGCGTACAGTACTGTATTTTGAAAAATTGGAATTTGAAAATTGAAAATTGGAATTTGAAAAGCGCTTTCCATTTTCCACGCTACACCAGCGACACCAGCTAGTCATAACATTACTTTCTGAGTGAAAACTTCACATTAAGTAATTACATTTACCTACATAAATTGTCAACTGCAGAAAATATAATAATCTCTACTAATATTATAAATGCGAAAGTAACTCTGTCTGTCTGTTACGTTTTCACTTCTAAACCGCTAAACCGATTGCGATAAAATTTGCAATAGAGATACTTTAATTCCTGAGGGAAGACACAGGCTACTTTTTACCACGATAACCGATATATACACGAGCGGAGCCGCCGGAAAAACCTAGTAAGGAATACACGTGTTACGATATGAAAGAGTCGCGTGCAGCTTTGAGGGCTTGCGTAATACTTGTAGCAAATTATCCTTCACGCAAAAGACTTAAATATATATAAGTGTAGATATAAAACAGATAATCACACATTGGTTTCCAAATAACCTTGGCTCATTTTTTGTAACCGTTTTTTTGTTATTAACTGACAACAGATAGGTATAAAAAATGTAAAATTACTTAACGTTTGGCAAACTATGTGTGCATGAAGTTTAATTTTTTTATGGTTAATGGTATTGTAAAGGTCACCTGATTTTAAATGACTACCGTCGTTCATGGACAATTACAACTCAAGAAGTGCGTTGAGAAACAGGGGCAAGGTTGGTTTTGGGTTCCGGTAATCGCATTCGCTGTCCGTGTTGGATGGACAACAACGGATGTCCGTGCTGTGACGGATTAAGAATACGGAATGGAGTAGTGAACTCCAATTCACCCCGTGACACCAGCACTGTAAAAAGAAGGAAAACTTGACACAGATCCTGTACCAACCCGTTTGGCCAGCGTGGCATAGTAGGCAAAGGCCTCCTTCCTGGGGAGAGGCAGTGGACTATTAAAGGCTGATGATGATGTGATGTGAATCGTATTCGTATAAAAGCAACCAAAAATTATTAATTTTAATTATTAAATCGGCAATTAAAGAAATCAATTACAAATATTGGGATTGCCGGACGTGTGCCTAAGATCAAGGACAGTGCAACCAGAAGGCCAATTCTCGTAATAAAAATTCCGTCTCAATTCAGTTCCGATCAACTTTCGATCTCACAACTGTCATTTAGGGTACTTTTCTAGTAAAATTTTAAAGCATTACTAAGACAATTATTACAATTGACATTACAGCCAACGTTGGATGTTTAATAATTAACTACGAGAATACCTTTACCTATGGCAACAGTTCTAACAATTTATTAATTACTAGCTGACCCGCGCAACTTCGTCTGCGTCTCTCAATAGTAATAAATTTTCTCCGTTTTTGAAACATTCTTCATTGGTGCTCCGCTCCTATTGGTCTTAGCGTGATGATATATAGCCTATAGCCTTCCTCGATAAATGGGCTATCTAACACTGAAAGAATTTTTCAAATCGGACCAGTAGTTCCTGAGATTAGCGCGTTCAAACAAACAAACAAACAAACTCTTCAGCTTTATAATATTAGTATAGATTATACATACCAAATTAGGTACACAGTTGTAATCCATAAGTTAAAAAAAAAGGATAGATTTATAACTTACTTTTAAACATAATTGGAAAAAAGCGTTTAGTTAACACCCTTCTATCATATAATTTCTTATGTGAATAATTTAATTAAAGGTTACACAGTTTTCATAGCCAGAGTGAATCAATTTATTTATTTTAGAACTTAACTAAGCCAAAAGAATTAATAAAGTAACATTTACTTCGTACGTAATTTAAACAGAGAGGGATCTTTATGGCATGTAAACATGTAATAAGCTACTAGGGCATCATAAAGTCGCAATAGTAGCAGTTATTAAGTAAACAACAGTCGTGGAGACGAGTCAACAACCCAGCAAATTACAGTGACAATTTTCATGCATGCGCGTAATGACAACTTTGTACTACTTGGAAGAGAGAAGTACCTTCGTGATATTAACTTATTGTTCTCTCAATTCAAAAGAAGTAACGAGACTTAGCGTTACATTATTGTTTAAATCTAAATTTAAATTAAAAAATTAAAAAACCCCCGACACACATCTTGGATTTGAAATTTGTCATAGTATTATTCTTCTTCTACTAGTCAAGTCCTTTTATTTGATACCCACGAGTTGTGAAAAAAAAATGTAATCCGCCATTTTGTGGCGGCGGCCATCTTGGACAATTCGGCCGTCTCGGATTTCCAAAACTCTTTTTTTTATTAGAAACAGCATAGTCCTAAAGCATAAGGTTTTTAAAGACAACTCTCGCATTAGGAATACAACCTGTGTCGCGGGAGACTTTACAGCATGGCGACCGCTTAAAACACTACGCCATCCGTGCAGTGTATTTATATATATATATATACATAAGTATGTTTATCAGCAGTCTGGTTCATCAGCAGACTCTGCCTAGTTTAGGATCAGAATGCCGTGTGTGAGATGTGTGAAGTTATTATTAGTATTTGTAAAGGTGGTTTATTAGTAGAATAGCACTAATTCAAGCAGTTCTGTTGTGCCCTTCTTCTACTCGATCGTCACGGTCACCACGTTCCACGCTGCGATTGGCCCGCATTGAAATCTCCACCAATCGCAACGCTAAACGCGCACTCGGCCCTCACATACCCGGGATCTGAAGATGAACACAGTACGATGAGGGTACGTTAATAAATTATAAATATGATGTCTATCTAAATAATTTGTCAAGTAAATTGATGAATCTGCCCAAACTTGGCGTGATTTATGACCATTAAGAGAATTTCTCTTATGTGATTTAATTCCAAAACGGAGTTTACTTGATTAGAACAAAAATAAACTTATATTTTAACCGAATTGATAAAGGTTCTTAATTGGGCTGAACATTTTTGTGGGTATTTTAGAAGTGACATCGTCGACATTTTGTGGTTTACTAATGTCGATGTTCTCAATCATTACTTTTTAATTTAAATCGTTTGTACTCAAGGTTGGTCCGATATTAATTTGACAGAAATATACCACATACAAGGGTGGTAAATTAGTGAATGAAGATCACTATTTAAGTGCATGATAGAAAAAAAATAAGGGTACGAGTATCGGTAGGGTACGAATAAGGGTATAGTATATACAACAGAATGCCAATTTCCTACCTAATAAAAATTCTGTCTCAATTCAGTTCCGATCATCTTTCGATCTCACACCTGTCATAAAAGGTATTTTCGTAGTAAAATAGTAAAGTTACTAAGACCCGCAGATTATCGATTTAATTTTCGGTTAGTCAACGTTGGATGTTAAATACTTTATTACGAAAATACCTTTTATGACAGTCGTGAGATCGAAAGTTGATCGTAACAGAATTGAGACCGAACTTTTATTACGAGAATTAGACTTCAAGTTAATTTACATACATATACCACCAGCTTTTGCCTAAGCGTACGCACGCTGTGAAGTTACTGTTCTATTGGTCTCTATATCTTTGAGAACAATATTTGTTTCCGGATAAAAGGTACTCTACCTTTTCTGTGCGCATAGTAACGTATATGTATAGTAAGTAAAATTTTTGAGACGGGAATCGCTTACCAAACAGTAAAGAAATAAATCGTCTATTATAATTTTTTTATGTAGTAACTGTTGTTTGTTAAAGTCTATTCTATCTATGAGTCTATTCGGTAGCCATTCGCGGTTAAATCTCTAGTTCTCTGAAAACCGTTGAATTGGTCATAAACTTAGTATCAGAGAGGCTTCTTACCATTTTAAACACTACAAGTGTGCAGGAGCATAATACTTTCTAGTATAGTCCTATCTTAACAATAGTATAATTAATTACTCCACACTCACACCATATTAGTAGTATTAGTAGTATCTACATTGCACCCGTACGAAGCCGGGGCAAAATGGCGGGTGTACATACCACTTAGTAATTATGGTACATCCGCCATTTTGCCCCGGCTTCCCACGGGTGCAATGAAGACAGTGAAAGTTGGATCATTGTTTTATTTGAAGTTAATTGTTTTAGTGAGCGTACAATTTTGTATATTTTGATGTGTCTGCATTTCGTACGTTGACATGCCACCGCTGGAAACTGGAAAATATGACACGCAAAATGTCGAATGAGTCAACAGGTTTTTCTTTGTTAAAAAGTAGCCTATGTCCTACTGCCAACTATTTTAATCCCATTCCGTTCATCCAATCCATCCATACAAACATTTTACATTCATTTGTCATCATCATCATCATTTTCCTGCGTCGACTGGGCAATGTGAAATATTTCGTTGGGTTTTGACTAGTATCTTTTATCAGCATCATCAACAGCCCTTAATAGTCCACTGCTGGACCTACTATACTACGCTGGCCAGACGGGTCGGTATAGAGTTTGTTTCAAGTTTTCCTTCTCTTTGCAGTGCTGTTGTCCTGCGTAGTTTGCTCCCTTAATCGGCTCTTACGACACCCATGGGATGAATCGGGGTGGTAACACACTGTATTTAAAAGCCGTCACCACACCGACAGTTTCTTTTATAGGCAACTTTTATTTCTTAGTTCCAATACAGTAAGAAAATCGTATAGGGCGACTGAACTACAGTAATGGGGAACATTGTTAGTTTTAAGTGAAAAATGTTAAGAACACCAAATAAATGTCTTTTTTCTGTTACAGGTTGAATGAAGGACTTCAATTTAACATGCCCTTCATCGAAATAGCTTTTCAAGCAGAAGTTAGTCGCTACGAAGACTCAGAGTTCGAAGAACATGCCAGACGGATCTGCAATGAAGATCCGGATACCAGGAGTAAAGTAATTGAGGAGTTACGTAGATTGATAAGAGGTATACCATCCATGAACAATTGCAACTAAGAGTTACAAATGCGTTTCCACCCTTGAGGACTATGGAGTTACCATAGTTTTCTCTATGACCTCCATTGTTTTCTTTATGATATGCATCATCATATTCATCATCATCATTCGCCTATCGCCATCCACTGCTGAACGAAGGCTTACCCCAAGGAGCGCTAACTATCCCAGGTCTAGGGCAGTCCGCATCCATCCGCTGCCAGATCCTTTCTCTTTCTTTCGCAATTTTTTTTTTTGGCAACATTGAAAATTGTGCAATTTTAAAAAAAAACGTGCTGTGAAATGTTGTTACCAGAACTAAAAGTGCCTTATTCATATACTAAAGGGTCAGCTTTAGCTGATCACATCACGAAATACGAATATTTAATTCAATGGTCGATTACTACGAGTATAACGTACATAATAACTTCTCCCCGTTTTTGCAACATTTTTCATCGATGCTCGGCTCCTTTTGGTCGTACCGTGATGGTGTATAGCATACAGCCTTACTCAATAAATGGGCTATTCAACACTAAAACAATTTTTCAATTCGAACCAGTAGTTTCTGAGATTAGCGCGTTCAACCAAACAAACTCCCCAATTTTATAATACTCGTGTCAGTACGGTTGCTCACAAAATCTCAAATGCTCCTGTCTTACCCCATACGCGCGTAGCGTATACAGCATTTTAATTGCGTATTGCGGCAAACAGAAACAATAGTAATTTATGTTATTGGTCAACATATAACGAAATACCATTATTTTGAACGGTAGTGCTTGTTACGTGTTATATTACGATATCGTTATCTACGCCTTGGTGTTATGAATAAAACATAAAAATGTCTATTCATATATAATTTAAAAACTTATAATTTAAAAACTAACAACTTCCATGGCCAATTACTAATGAAACAATAAAATGTAGATGTTTTAATAAAAAATAATTAAGTTTTTTTTTTGATATTGAATTTTATTTTTCTCTTTACCAGAGCGAGGGGAGTGCAATCCACGAAGATTAGATGATGCCTATTGTCTCAGGTTCCTAAGATGTCGCCGGTTCATACCAGCGCTGGCGCATAAATTGGTGAGCAATTAATTTGTAATGTTAATATGAATAATAAGTTATTGATGAAAATATCAATACATGTTCCTAATTCATAATTCTGACACTGATTTTTTGCAAAAATATCTTGTTTTTTTGTAGAATTTTTAGTACGTACTTTAAAAAAAAAGGAAAAATAATACTCTGTGAAAAATACTAAATAAAGGAGGTAAGACGTAATGCATGGAGACAGAAGTATGACAACAGTCCTCTTACCAGCTAAAGAATACCCATAGTGTAGTATAATTTGCTACTAGGGAATTGAGCGTCAGAACTCCCTGTATATCAAGTAGTTTACTTGATATGCAGGTGGTAGTAGTTTACTTGACTAGAGTTCTGACCCTCCATTCGCTCCATCATGCAAAATACGAAAGTTCTTTTTTTACACGCTTTTTATTAGCTTCACTTGTATGTTTGTTTGTAACGGACTCCTTTGGGCGTGCTTTTGACTGACTTCAAACGGTCAGAATTCGTTCAAACTTTGTAGATATGTCGAGGACCGATGACAATACAGTAATTTAAAAAATAAATAAGAAAAACTTAAAAACACGCTTTTTATAGAAAACCAAATTATAAAATAGAAAATAAATTTTAATAAATTTGACAGGCACCCAACGCTTTTTTTTCAAATTTATTAAAAATTTATTTTCTATTTTTTGCGTGTTTTTTAGTTTTTTTACTATTATTTTTTATTTACGGTTCACTAAACTGGAAATACACTTTAAAAAGTATACATACCACTATTATCTAATGTACATACATTATTAGTGTATCGCCTTATAGAACTGCCTTCAAAACTAGAGACAATTGAGGTTAAGTACATAACAATCATGACCATAATCAGGGTATTGACACTAACAATGTATACAAATATTAACAATGCTTAGATAAATACACTTTCAAAGACCAAACTGTTGCACCCTAAATGATAATTTCATTACCAACTTTATTATTTGTGGAACACATACAGTACATAGGTGCATGCTGACCATAATTTGTGCAGGAAGGTAAGCTAAAAGTTTTTCTGTTACTAATACGGCTACCTGGACGTGGCACAGCCAGATTCAATTTTTGGAGTAGGGAAGGGCTGTTTTTTTTAATGGAATAGGGGGCAAATGAGCAGACGGCTCACCTCATAGAAAGCGACTACCGCCGCCCATGAACGCATGCAACTCAGGAGTCACAAGCGCGTTGCATGCCTTTGAGGAAGGAGTACGATCTTTTCTTGAACGTTTGAAGGTCGTGTCGGTCCGGAAAAAACCGCAGCCGATAATTTGTTACACAGATTGGTAGTGCGAGGCAAAAAGTCTTGAAAACCGCACAGTAATGGAGCGCATTTTTGCCGTGTGGGACGATAGCGGAAGGTTGCGGCCGGTATTCGTCCGAACAATTCCTCGGAGCACTCTCCATGATATATAGAGCCAGCTAAGAGCGAAGCTAGATCTCTAAGTAACGCCAAGGGATCGAGCGGGTCGCAAATCTTTTGGCTATCGACGATTCGAGTCGCCCTTTTTTGGATTCGGTCCAGAGGGACAAGCTGGTACTGTGGTGCCCCTGCATAGAGATGAGAACAGTATTCCATATACGGTCGGACTTGCGCCTAACAGAGTTGGAGGCGAGGGGCAGGAGTGAAATACTGCCTCGATCTGTTCAGCACACCGAGCTTCTTCGAGGCCAATTTGACCTTACCCTCTAAATGACCTAATGAATGTCTACTTTTCCATTGAGTAGTTTGTACAAACAAACGATGTCGTCAATTTTTCGTCTGCGCTCCAGTAAAATAAGATTGAAATATGCTAGTCTGGATTCATAGGTCATTAGTTTACGGCTAAGGTTATGAGCGTATGATAGCGTATTATTCATAAAAGAATCTACGATAATAAACAATATGAATATTAACTGTCGTGTCTCAACTAAGCATATTTATTAATTTTCGAAACAATATTAAAAAAGAACCGATATTCCTCTAGTATTTTATTATATATTAGCTATATATATTAGCTAGTATTATATTACTAAAAAAAATATAGTTGAAAAAGATAAAAAACACGCGTCATTGGTCCTTGATAAGTGTGTGAAGTTTTTATTTAATTCGATGTTTTGAAGTGGGCAAATCACGTTCGAAAATTCCATTACACATAAATACCAAGCTAATAAAAACTTGTTAAAATTGTTATTATTTCCGTATTCTGTATCACAAAATATCCGGTAACATATAAATAACAGAGATAAACCGGTCTCTATTTCAATAACGAGGTCAATTGAATGTCATGTAAATCACTCACGCGCGTCCATCTCTCCGGCTGGCAGTTTATCTACGCTGATTGATAAGTCAGCTGTGAAACTCGTTCTACCAGGAAAACATAATATTACCGGAGGTTGCAGAATATCTAATCAATAAATGACGTTGAGTGTGTAAAAATGGTTGGCATAGATATTATTATATTACTAGACTATATTTATGTTCTCTGTTATGACCTAATAAGCCTTGGGTTCAGCTGATACCAAGGTTTTATAAGTACTCTTAATGTGCCTGTGGAGTTATGCTACATGCAAATAAAGTCTCATTACATCAATAAACGACTTTCAAAAATATCTAAAATCACTACAAATGTTCCTAAGATCAAAATCGTTTAGAAAGAAATAATGTTTAAACCATTCAAGGGCACAAAAACGAGTGTGCTTTAGACTGCACTAGATTAGATTACACTTTTCGTAATGCTCTCGTCACGTATTCACCAGCTTACTCCCCAAGTCAAGCGTGCGTAAAGAAGTTTTACTTTAATAAATTCGTTAGTTATTTTCAAACAATAAGTTATTATCTCATTTAAAAAATAAATAAAGATATTGTGTCTAATTACAAGTAACTACTCAAAATAATCTACTAAGTATACACAGATAATACATAAGATCTCAAGAAAACTAACTCAAACTAAAGAAACTAAATCAAATGTTTTCTGTACACAGTCGTGCAGACTTACTATAAATTATGCTAGCCTAGTAGATCTATTTACATGCAGTCTGTTGTAGTGCCCGTCTCTCTTGTTTCTTTTACTATGATTATAAGAGATATCTAGAAGATTATAATGGTTATCTAGTTTTCTAGTTAGTCCCTCTGTCATTGAACTACTTCGCGCTAACACTTCGTTTTCGTTATATATTATATAAGGATTTTTACTATCATCATAAAATGATTCTTGCACGTAGGTGTTTAGGTGCATAATGCTATGTAAACAACATTCACATTCAAACATTCCATGAGCCTAGACCAGTATTGCGATTTGCGAGTATATAACCAGTTAAGGTCTAACATTTTTATCAAGATTAGAAACCGCGTTCAGGTTTCAAGTAAACGAGTTTAGAAAGTCCTAAAGGATTTAATAACACAATAATAATATTCATGTTTCTAATAGTGCCTTTATTAATATATTGGGAAGAACTCATACTTTATATTCTAGATATAAATGCAATAGAATTCTGGGCTGACATCAGTAAACTAATTGAAGTTTGCCTGCCGTTGATAAAAATTTGAAATAAAATAAATTAAATATAGTAAACCGAATCCAGCGGTGGGTGGACGAGTCTAGTTGGTACTCATCTAATTTTGTCAGTAAAAGAGACTACAATTGCAGGTGGATTCTTCATGGATACTTCTCGTAATCACTTCAGTTATTAAACAACAGTGGCCGATTTTTAGAATGTTAATCTTTGCCAGTCACCAGACCATTGCGGATACCTTGACATGGAAAAATATAATGGAAACACTCATTATGAAGTAACCATTTGGATGCTTATTAAAGATACGATTAGATAGTATAATAATATACCAGCCAACCGATATGATTATCCATGTGAATTTTGGTGAGGAATTATAGGTGTAGTACCCGGAGAACATAAAATCAAGCGACATCTATGTTGTATAGAAATAGTTTGTGGGATGGTCAGTTGTAAAATATTTTTTATTCTTATGTTGCATAGTATATATTCCACCTGATTCTAACTACAAGGAATACATGAAACTATTTGAAATACTAGAAAATGTATGTACCAAGTACGAATCTGTTGTCGTGGTGGGTAATTTTAACATACCGTCAGCAACGGTAGAAGTGCTGTATTATTTGGAATATTTTTTGGAGTTCTGTGGATTTCGGCAGGTAAATAATATATGTAATATTAACAACCGTACCTTAGATTTGACTGCACGGATGGCGTAGTGGTTTAAGCGGTCACCTCGCCGTTTCCTACTACGCGGAGTGTTGTGGGTTCAAACCCCGCATGGGACGACACTTTGTGTGATCCACAAATTGTTGTTCTGAGTCTGGGTGTTCTTTGTGTCCGTTTCATGTATGTTTGTAAAGTCCCCCGCGACACAGGAATGTATTCCTAATGCGGGAGTTGTCTTTTTAAAAATAAATAAATAAAAGATTTGGTAATGACTACATTAATGGCGTGTGATATAGAGGTTAGAACGTCGAACTAGCCACTCGTGGGCATTGAGGTCCCTCCTTTAGATATTGAAGTGAATTTAGTAAAATTTTAACAAAAAAAAAACCGACTTCAAAAAACACTATTCACACACTTCTAAACATATAGATCGTACCTACATATTGATGAGTTGAAAATGTAAGTTGATTATTAAGTTGTAGAAGAATACGCATTTATTTTTTTACTTTTTAGTGCATATTAATTTGTTTTGGAATAGTATTTTTTGAAGTCGTTTTTTTTTTGTTAATTTTTTTAGATTTTTAGTGAATCTGAAGTACACTAACTAATTTGTCTGAATATGGATAGACCCAATAAACGTGCTCGAAATGGTATGTGGCATACTATTAAACTGTAATAGTATGCTTCTTTGTCACTATTAATTGTATAATAGCGGATACGTAATACGAAAGGGCAAATATGTTATAAGGTTGCACTTAGTCGTGTCAAAAGTTTGGAAGGCATAGCTTTATCAGATTTGGACGCCAACAAATTATTAA